GTATCCGAAGGCATCATATCGATTGCTGTTTTGAATAAACGCACCAAATTGTTCCTTTCGTGAAAAAGTTTCTGTAGCTGCGAAATAATGTGCCTCTTCAGCGTATTTGGGTATTGATTCCATAGCGTGCATCTACTTCATTTCCATCATCACCAAGAAGAAATTTGTGTTCGATGTCTGGGAACGGAAGCAGGGAACCGGCTTTATGATACATTTGTCCTTTGATTTTAAAAGATGGCATGAATTGTGCAGTTATAATTTCCGCACCAAATGACGTCATTTGAAAGCAAGAGTTGTATTTCCTAATGTTCGACAGGAAATGCTTCGATTCTGCAGTAGATCCAGCGAATAGAGAGTGCAGAGGCTCTGGTGGTGCTTCAAGTTGAGGCAATTCCACTTTCCCGGAAGCGCAACACAATCCTTTTGGTTCGTTTTTGAATTTGAGAGCCTGACGGTATATGCAGACCTGATGCATTCGTCCAATAACGACATTCGATTCGAGCTGTAATCATTAGTTGGATTATATCTGAATGCAAGACGATTGCATTGCAGGTTTTGATCTTCTGCAAGCTGTAAACGCGCTTCAGCTACCCTTGCCCTGTCGCGTTCATTATTTTGAGAGTGAATCAAATCGATTGCTGCAGAACGCGACTGCCTAACTCTCAATCGTTTTCTCTCAAGCCTATCTTCTCGTCTTTCTGCTGATTCCTCGTTACTTACTTACTTACTGAACCTGAACAAAAAAATAAAATTTTTTCTCCAATTCCTTATTTCAATTTTTTTGAATGTTTGACATTAAATGCTTTGATTCAGCTGGCTGCCTGTAGAGGGCGCAGAAGTAGGGGCACGGGGAAACGCAAAAAAGTTATATATTCGCAAATGCAGATAAGCTATCAACATTAAAAGTAGACAGTAACCGAGCTGGAACCTCAACGCATGTTGTCTAAAAATTTGGGCTTAAACGGTTCAGAACTTTTCAACTTTCTTCTTTCAATATGTTTTGAATGTTTGACAGGAAATGCTTTGATTCAGCTGGCTGCCTGTAGAGGGCGCAGCAGTAGGGGCACGGGGAAACGCTAAAAAATTGATATATTTGCAACCGCAGATAAACTATCAACATAAAAAGCAGTCAATAACCGAGCTGGAACCTCAACGCATGTTGTGTAAAAATTTGGGCTTAAACGGTTCAGAACTTTTCAAGTCTATGAAGGATGTAGACACGAACAGAGTATTTTTATATATATAGATATAAATAGTCGTCCGATCCGACCCGTTCCGACATAAATACGAGAGTAATTGAACAGTTTCATTCAGATAGCTTTGATACTGAGAGACTAGTTTGCGTAGACTCGGACCAACGGAGTGACGGACAAACAGACTGACGCACATATCTAGACCGACTCGGCTGTTGCTGCTGATTAAGAATATATATATTTTATATGGTCGGAGGTGCCTGCTTCACTGCGTTGCAAACTTCTGACTGAAATTATAATACCCTGCAAGGGTGTAAAAATATATAATGTTGTTATCTCATTTAGCCACAGCTAAATATAAATTATTGATTTACCCAAATTTGCTTTAATTTGCGTTAATATGATCAATCAAATCGATCGGAGACAGCGTCATCATAAACTACCCCGGTTACCGCAGACGGTGAATTTTATGATGCGTCCAGCACCGACTGCGGCATCATGAATTACACCGGTATGATTAAAAGGGAATGGTAAGTTTTCATTAACAGTATCCCCTGAGCAATTCAGTACGAAAAACACAATGATTCCATACAGAAAAGTCGGACTGGGTTAAGGAAAGAATGAGATCTGTCCGCTCACTCACATATCTCCCTTTGTAATGATTCCATAATCGCGCTGGAGGGCGATGGACTTCCGTGATAATTATGCTGATTATCTTCGAGGCCTTCTTGTAGAACCTTTTGATTTGATTTTTTTTTTTTACAATCAATCATATTTCACGCTCACTTTACTTGATTTTGTTTATGTTCAGCGACAAAGTATTGCTGGTATGTTTATGCCGAGTTCTTAGTAAAATGCACTCAATATATGTACATATAAATTAAAGAATGAATTCTAAGAGTGACTCACCTGTTTCGTTTATGTCGGGGCTTCCCATCACACAGTGGTGTGCATTTGGTTTGAAAACCACTTGTTGATCTCTCGGGATGGCTTCTATCAGGCTGCTTACTTCCTCCGGTAGGGATGTCCTGTCGTGTGCCACGTAGCAGGAAACTGCCAGAAGGCGCGTCTTTCCGCTCTCCAGCATCACATCAGTCAGGTCATCCGAGCTGTAATGAGGCATAAGGTTAGCGTGAAGACCCTTCCGTAAGAGTACGGTGATTCTTTGACCGTCCGTGAATCGTCCTCCATCCGTTAAAACATCGATTCGACGAGACGCGCGTGCACCATCTTTCACCGCGCTTCGGCCATCTTGCCGTTCGGGTCACTTCGGTTTATAAGTGCCTCACCTCACCTCCTGGTTTCGCCGAGCGGAGAATACTCCCTTCCTCATCTTTAGTGAGCTGCACTCTTTTCAGCTCCGAGTTTGTATCGACTACGGCACCCGTGCGGCATAGATTGCTCTGAGTGGTTGTGGTGGTGGCAGTAGTGGTCCAACTTGTATAATCCGCTCCCGTCATGCTAGAGGTTTGACCGCTAGCGACACTCAGAGATGATTGTTCCTCTCCGTACCCGCTGGTGGTAGTAGTCACGCCTTCCACCTACGTTTTGGGCTTACATCCCGGCCACTTTTTTGTTTCGTCCATTCGATTCGTTTCCGTTTTTGGCCTTCAGTCAGGCATCTCCAACCATGGCTAATAATTCATTTCCACAGGCTTTAGGCAGAAGGAATTGCATAGACCCAGTTGAATATCTATAACGGCCTAGATTACCAAAAAGTGCGAAAAAAAAAAACGACAAGCTGCATACACGACCACGACAACAGCGGTGTGTTCTTCGAAACAAACCAGCAAATTTCGTTGTTAGGACACAGCAGGACACTAGAAACTTATATACATATTGCATACAAATTAATTAGATGTTGAATCGTCGGACAAAACGGTGAATTGCCATCGGCAATTTAAATTCCTCCACGGATGGTCCCTCGAGGTTGGAGATATAAAGTTGGGGGCGGACAACAGGTCATTTGATTTCTTCTAGCCGGCTGGCCGTAGAATATCCAATTAGGTAGATTATGTTGGAGGGATGACTGTCCCTCTTTTTACTGCTGGCCTAGGGACTCAGACAGATTTGCAATGATAAGTGTTTAACGACGGATCGTCGGAGTTTGGTATAGGAGCAATGCCTCTTTATTTGACAAATATTAAATCAGAAATGAACTTGAAAGTTAACAAAACTGAAACTCATAGCGGCCACTCCAATGGGCAGTGCTTGCCGGCTCTGCACTAGTTTGAGCAATTTGGCCGAAGCGAGCTTTCGGACGATCGGTCATTGCCTTCGCCCGGTTAACTTAGTTAACTTACATATTGCAATGCACCTTGCTCTAAAGCCAGGTACTACGATAATATAAATCCGATTAAAGAATGGTAGCGAAATCGTTATATATTATGCTTGGTAACTAGTGTGACCAAAGAAAATTAAGAAATTGTGCGAAAAATAAATGTTTCTTGTAAACAAACCTTATTAAGTGATATTAAAATGATTTCGAACAGATTAGATATTAGAAAAATATTTATTTATGTATTCGCCGCTATATAGCTGAAGGGAAATAACCAGAGCCACTTACCCCGACGACTCGCAATAAAAATTATTTTTGTATTCTAACGGTCTTGTGTGAATTAAATGTCATATTATGGGCCTTCATTTTCCAACATTTTCGTCTTGGTTTAAAAAAAATGGTTCCATGCGAACCAAATTTTTTCTTTAAATTTTCTTTCTATCATGTCTTTAAACAATATATACTATTTACTATTTCGCTCGCTTAATCACTACAGTTTCGTTTGTTAATCTGGCAACGCTTTACATTTTTCGCTCGCAAAGTTTATCCTATTTTAGCACAAGCCCGAGTTATGCATCTTTTTCTTCTTCTTCTTTTCGCTACCTTTTTTTATATGAAGTGTAGCCGCTTAAAGAATATTTATCTTATGTTAGTACCAGGCTTTATGCATGAAAATAGTTTTGCTTTGCGGTCTTTGATATGTGTTGGGAAAATGTAACCACAATGCGATCGCAAAAAGAGAGAAACAACATATAGCAGCCATACACCAACAAAATATTTAGAAATTAAATAAATACGATATTACATTTTTAAAATTTTTTCATTATTCAGAGGCAAAAACCCGGAAAAACTTCTACCAGAAAATTTTTCACACAATCGAGGAGACCACCCCAAAAAGCCTTACAACTCTGCGGTACTCCAATAAAGATCGCCACGTTTACAAGACAATTGACATAGACTTACCCAATGGGATGGGATGACTATTGTAATTATTACAATTGAACCTTTGTACTCTGCCCACCAACGTAGGAAAATAAGAAAAAATTTCTTTAAGGTAGAGTTCGATATTTTTCTTCACGCCTCATTTTCAAAAACTACCACATAAATATACATAGATGTTGATGACGGCACGCGAGGATTGACGTGGCTTTTTATTCAACTATAGTCACCAAACAGGATGCATTGCGTAGATCCCCTGGTGATGGCTATTTACAGTAATCTCAAGTATTCTGTCCAATTAATTATTTATTGAAGCGTCACATTTTAAATATACACACGTCGTGTAAGTTTTTTTTTTTTTTTTTTTTTTTTTGAGCTGAACTTATTATTGTACGTTACTGTAGTGTACAATAGTGAGCGAACAATGTAAGTAGATTTGGCAGTGGAATCACTAACATTCAATATGTGATATATAGCAGTGGAATGGGGATATATAGAATAAAATATCGATAACAAAACCAGCTTGTGTATAAGGAATATAAATTGTATTTTAGTATAATTATTTCATATTCTATAAAGTCCCACAGGTCTGGGCACACTTTGCTGTAAATTCTTCGGGTTTCAATAACGTTAACATTTTCTGTGCTGTACACGTTTTGGAAAATATGGTTGACGAACAGGTTATTGAAAAAATATTGTATAAGAGTCAGTCCAACCATTTATAATAAATTATATTTCAGCTCTCAAGTGCTTTAAGGGACTTGCCCAGTAGGGCACTATGTGTGCCTGTGGAGGAACGGCAACTTCTTTTTAGAAATGTGTCAGCAGTTCTACGAAATCCCGGTAAGCAATAAATGTTCTTGTAATTTTATTTAGTGTTAATATATAAAGAACCTTTTAAAACCAAGGTAGGTAGCTGTTAATATGTAAACAACCTATTGAAAGCAAAGTAGTCAGTCTAATTATAGTATAGGAGACAATTGTATAATTTTTACAGCCATACCTAGAAGAGTTATACATTATTAAAATAAATTTGGATATCCCTACAGGGTATTATAATATTTTATTATTATTTTCCACAGCTGCGAAGGAATAATTTCTCAATAAAGTACATGTATGTACAGTGACGCACTAAACTGTTGGCAAAGTTGTAAACTTGAACTTTAAGTGCTATTTCCAGGCGTATTCAATATTTTATTGAAATTTTTTTTAATACAGTTAAATTAAATAATTATGTATAAAATAACCCTTTTTTTTATTTTGCTTCATATATTTAAAACTATAGAAACTTTAAAAGAAAATTACCATATTTCGTGACATAAAAATCTTGGCACAGCTATTAGTTTTACTGGATTTATTTTAGATTTAAGGCCTTTATGTTCTTATTTTTTTAAGAAATGTTAAAAGGGATTTTTTTTAAGCACATGGCGTCACATAGTTTTCAAAAAAAGTTCAATTTATCTAAATTTTTTCTGCCATGTGCCTAAATTTTAAGAAAATTGAGAATAAGCGAAAAGAAACCAACGTAGCTCAAAGAAAAATTGTCCTTCATCTGCACAATGTAGTCAAATCGTATGTCGAAATAGCCAAAATTATGGAACTAGTCCGATTTTCCATTAGGAGCATCGTGCAATGCTACGAGGGAGTCGAAAGCTTGGAGAGCGCACCTAAATCTGGGCGTCCCAAGGCTTTAAGTCACCGGCAACGCAACGCGGTGATCCGAAAGGTCAAAGTGGACTCCAAAACATCATCCTCCCAGATCACCGCTGAAGTTAAAACCGAGTTTGGGAAAGATATTCATCCGATGACCGTAAAAAGTGCCCTACACAAAACCAACTTACATTGCCGTGCTGCTAGGCGAAAGCCGTTCATATCTGATATCAATATAAAAAGCGTTTGGCCTATGCTAAAGGATATCTTAGCAAGCCAATTGAATTTTGGGATCACGTACTCTTTTCGGAAGAAACCAAATTTAATATTTATCGCTCTGATGGCCGCCAGAACGTATAGAGAAAACCGAACACTGAGCTGGATAAAAGTGACTTGGCGCAAAAATCAAACACGGTGGCTGAGGCGTGATGGTATGAGGATCTATGTCATCCGCTGGTGTCAGTAACCTGGTGATCATCAAAGGCATCATGGATGAAGCATATTACCTCAATATTTTGAAAGAAAACTAAAAAAAAAACGGCCAACGTTCAAAATGCAAAAATTCGTCACATTTATGCAGGACAATGATCTGAAGCATTCTGCTCACGATGTGCGTATGTTGCTCACTCACTATAGAGCACATGTACCGCCACATCCATGCTGTCATCAACAACAATTAATCAACAATTCATAGATTATTAATCAACAATTCATCGATGTTTCATCAACAATTCATCGATGTTTCAACAACAATTCATCAATGCTTCATCAACAATTCATCGATGTCTCATCAACAAAATTCTTCAATGGCCGGGCAATTTTACTGCCGACGACTGCCGTCTAGACTACCTTTGTTTTCCCTGAAATTTTCTTTATTGCGTAGGTTGATCTATGCAGAAGCGAGACAAAAAGGAATTCGAAAGTTAACGGTTCATAGAACAAGGCTATAAGTAAAAGAATAGATGCATCTGGAGAGTAATACTTACACATAATTTGTTTTCGTCTTAATTTGAATGCTATTAACATTTTATATTTTATTTAGTGACAATCTCATATTAAAAATAAATTGCGTATCGATGAAGGCTTTTAATTGAATGGAATTGAGTTTATTAAGCTATAAAAAATTTCATGGCAATCGGCTAACAACAACAAGAATAATAACAAAATAAGTTTGGCGGTGAAAATAATTGTGAATTTGTGTAAATACTTTGACTACCCCTGTATATCAATGCAGAGATTGGCAGCGGTGCCTGGTTAAGCACTACAAGTATACTCGCTCAAAATGTGGTGGCGGTGCTGCTAACAACGCATGATATGCGGTTGGAGTGTTCTACACAATGAATCTAAATGTATACTAGTCGGCAAATATATTTTGTCATTGTATTCATTTGACCATAAGACTCTCTAACTAAGTACCGGTGCGTTGTTAGAACCAAAATCGAAGATGAAACAGAAGTGCAAATTAACAACTGTAAAAATGTAAAATATTTCGACAATTGTCCTTTGTTTTTTCGTCCTGCTGATAAGAATGCCAGCAAGCAACAATTTTTGCAGCGGCAAATATATTTTTTGTAATTGCGTGATTTAGTTGTTTCTAGGCAAGCTGAAAGTGTGTTCAAATATAATATTACAAGTTTTCATTAATATTGGATAAATTCGATTTTAAAATAATTAAAAGGTTAAAAAATCGGAGTTTAGCACCAAAATAAGATCAGAAATAGTGATCAAAAATAACTTGGGTGTTTCCGTAATAAATTGTAAATAATCGCTAAGGAACATAATTTGTCTCGTCAGACACTTATTATCAAATCAATAAATATAAATAATTAAATGATGTGATCAATGTTCGCCGTAATGGCAGAAATCTAAACCTGATGCAGACCGTCCAATCGTCCGTACTTTTAAAAAGGACCCTCTAAAAACACCAAAGGCCGTGTCCTTGGAGTGGAATGAGACTTCCATAAGTGAGAGCACAATAGGCAGGCGTTTGATAGAAGCAGATATGAAAACATATATTGTAAAGCCAATACCTTTTATAACCCCTAAAAATAAATTAAAGCGGTTGGAGTTCGCGAAAAGGTACATTACCAAGCCCGCTTCATTTTGGCGTAATGTTCTGTGGACGAATGAGAGTAGATTTGAATTCTAAGCATCTCAAAAGAGAGTTTTTGTACGAATTAACAAGAATTGTCGTAAAAAAAATTGCTCAAAATTGTCAAAGAATAAGCCATGGGGGTGGAAGCGTAAAGTTCTGTGGTTCTGTTTCATATAATGGTGAGGGAGACTTTGTTCCCATAGACGGATTCATGAACCAGAACCGATATTTAGAAACCTTAAACGAATATGGTGAAAGATTAATAAGGAGAGACTTTACTCTTCAACAGGACAACGCTCCTTGCAATAAGGCTAGAATGATTACTAGGTTTTTAAGAGATGTTCAGGTTGTAACCCTCGATTGGCTACCACAAAGCGAAGCACTGATCTGACCAGGACAAGAGAAGAAACCATCACTGAGTTCACAATGAATTGGAAAGAGATTTCTTTAAAATACCTTTAAACCTTGGTCGATTCCGTTCCTAATCGCTTTCAAAAGGTCATAGACACCAAGAGAGGCTATATTTTTTATTAATTTCAAGTTTAAAATAAATTTATAAAAATATTGGTCAGTTAAGATTTAAGCAACAAATTGTCAATATACTTATGCCACTTATGAAATTAATTAGTTTTTAGTTTTTATTTAATAAAAAATCAAAATCAATGTTATGAAGGAAAATTTGTTATATTTATAATTTAATATACTGTAACTAAATGAATTATGTACAACCCATACATATTTTTCTCTTTAAAATACAAAAAAAAAATTAGAAAGAAACTAAGGCATCGCTAGGACAAAATATATTTGCCGACCAGTGTACGTTATACATATATAAAACGACATGAATCCTTGACTATCCTTGAATAGTAAAAAACATTTTTTTTGTTCTAATTTCAATATATATATTTCTAATAAAATAAAAACATCAATGAATTCAAAAAATTATTAATGACAATTCAAACGACACCAATAATGTTGGTTTTGTTGCCGCTCATATTTGGTACTGCATAGAAAGAGCACAGAAAAGAAACAAGTAAAAAAAGCACCACATAATTTTTCGATGCCGCTCTTCAAAATACATTGTGTGTAATGCCGATCTCTAGATCTAGATCCAAGTACTATATATACATTATCCATCAGTAAAAGCATTTCAGAAGTAATCTGAAAGTAACAGTGCAAAAATTTATTTTTTATAAATTGGAGCCACCGGCCCTATTGGTGAAGCAAAATTTTTAAAATTTTATGATGTATTTTATACTCAAAATTTAAATAACTTGACATTAACATAAATCATTCCATTCTGCAATTCCGTTTTGGTAAGCATCAACAGCTGAGTCGATCCAGCTATGTCCGTCTGTCTGTTCGTACGCAAACTAGTCTCTCAGTTTTGGAACTATTTGAATGGAATTTTGCAATTGGTTTCTATATACTAAAATAAAAAAAAAAAAACAATATTCTAAAATAATACATAACAGTCATATCTTGCAGTAAATGAAAATATGAAAATCGGCAAAGTTATACTTTACATACTCCTTGGCAGCTTTATAAAATAATGTCCGATCTGGCTTGTTTCGACAATAATATTAAGAAAGGAAGCTAACTTCGGCACACTGAAGTTTATTTACCCTTGCAAATAGAACTTCGATCACTAAGAATTAATATAATATAAATATATATATTTGTGTTAAAAAACAATGAAGTATTGCCTGCTTTCAATTCATTCACCTTTAGATATATAAACAGTTTTTTCCCCTCTAAATCTAACGATTATTTGTATGTAACCTATATAATTTAGTCGTGCGATCCGTCACGTTCCGAAATATGTACGAGTGAGAGTATATAGAAACTGCAAAGTTTCGTTTAGATAGCTTTAAAACTGAGAGACTAGTTTGAGTGCAGACGGACAGACGGACATGGCTAGATCGACTCGTCTGTTGATCCTGATTAAGAATATACATATATACTTTATATGGTCGGAGGTGACTTCTTCACTGCGTTGCAAACTTCTGGGTGAAGAGTATAAAAATAATACACAAAAACAAGAAAGGGAGCTAACTTTGGTAAACACAAGAACAACTTATTTAACTTACATACGAGT